TTGCCGATTAAAATTTTAGTAGCAAAAAATGTGGGACTTTAGGCGACCAAATATTTAGTAGCCAAAACAAGAACTCTTTGCCGACTAAAATTTTAGTAGCTAAAAATGTGGGACTTTTGCGACTAAAAGTTTGGTCGCCGAAAATGTATTAATTTAATTTTATGTCCAACCTTTTGGCGACTAAAAATTTAGTCAGAAATTGAATTCATTTGGCGACTAAAATAATTTTAGTCACTAATTACCTTTACTGACAATTCTTCCACGACTACTTCTGCGACCAAATAATTTAGTCGCTGAAACCCTTCGATGACTAAAAATTAACTTTTGGCGACCAAAAGTGAAAATTTTTGTAGTGTAAAGATTTGTTTCTGAATCAAAAATTGAAATCCAAGATGACTTAAGAAAATATAATTGATGAGTTAAATCAGTTTAATATCATGTATGGTGCCTGATGGGGAATTAATTAAATATTTGATTTAATTTAGTAAAATTACATATGATGAAATTAAACCCAATTGGAATTAATTAGATTAATTAAGTCATGTGGTAAGTAGGATTAATCAAGGTTAAGTAAGATTAAGGCCTTGTTTGGCAAAGGTTATTTTTTGTTTTTTGGGCTAAAATCTACAAAAAAATAAAATAGGCTAAAATAGCCAATAAGACAAAATGTCACATTAAACCCATAATCATTTCACTTTTTTTCTTACAAACATCACATCCAACTACAAAAAAATCCAACCATCTTTCCAAACATAAATATTTTAGCCTACTAAAACCTATTAAAATATCCAAAAACTAAAATAGCTTACTAAAATAGCCAACTTTCCAAACGTGACCTAAGTTGTGATTAGTTAAGCTAATGGCTAATTAGTGTTTAAGTTATTCCTACTCACGTGATTAATTGTGAAGAAGTGTGTAGAGGATTCTGCCTTTTGTATGTGTGAGAGTTATATTTGAGTTAAGTCAAGAAGTGTGGATTCATTCCTACATTCTGCTGGAGTTCAACTTAGAGAGAGAAAGTGGGAGAACTCAACTTTAGAGTGAGAAATCCAAAGAATTGAAGGAGAAGTAAAGAAACCAAGGGGGAACTCAAGAATTTCTGCATGTCAACAATTCTAGGTAAGGAAACGGAAATTTAATTCATGTAAAGATTTCATATTACACTTGAAATTAAAAAAGAGTTTGGAATCATATTCATGAAATTAGCAAGTTGATGAAGAACTTGAGCTATAATGAAAATATATGAAAGATTATGTAATGTTTCATGATTTTTGGTTTGGGTTTCAAAGTTCTTGCATGCATGAGAGTTTTTATTTGCCATATTTTCATAAATTCATGAGTTTATATGTTCAATTTCATGTTTTGCTCTTCAAAGAAAAAGAAGTTTGAAAACCTTTGCATGCATGGAGTTTTAGTTCAAATCTTTGTCAAATTGAAGAGGTTTTGAGGAAATGGTTTATAAAGGATCATGTATTTTTATTTTCTAAAGTGTTTTCATGGTTTAAATTAAGACATGCATGGATTCAAGTTTTGAAAATGTGTTTGGATGCCATTTTTATGAAATTCGGATTCTGAAATGTTGCAGGCTGCTCGAGCGGTCTATATACTGCTCAAGCGCACAATGAAGGCATCCAGTATCTATGTTTTGCAGGTCCGAAAGTACTGTGAACTTGTGTTCACTGCTCGAGCGGTTACCCTGTTTTGTCACATTTTGGAAAAATTGCTCTTTGTTTGTATTTTCGTTCCTATCTTTTTCTGAGTATTCCTAGGCATGCTTTAAGCCTCACGAGAGATTAATAAGTAAAAAACCGACATAACAAAATGAATAAGAAAGAGAAGTATTTGATTGAAGTAGTGTTTCAATGAGTATGTCTTTATGTGTATTATGTAGGTTTTTTTCCAAGGAGTATTGTCTGACCAAGCATTGTGAGTAATATCTTTATAAAGATATTTTTGTATAAATGATTTTGTAATGGCTACACCATACGATGTTTTATTAAATCTATGTTTTGTTTACGAAATGTCCAATATAATAAGTATTTTCCAAAATGTTATGATATGACAGGTTTTCTGAAAATTATGTTTTGATAAAAATGAATGAGTTTCCTTTTTGAACATCTAATGTGACAAAATATAATTTGATCTTCGAAAACTTCCATTCTATCTTAGAATCGTTATAGAAGTTCTGCATAAGTTATTGATTCGTAGTAAATGTTCTGTATGATGTCGATTCTTGATGATCGTTCTGCATGGCTCTGATCATGTATGATCGCTCTGTATGGCTTCATACTTTCATGGACATTCTGTATGTTATCGATCTGTTATAGACGTTCTGTATGCTTCCGTTCTGTTGTGGACATTCTGTATGGTCTTGATCCGTGAAGATCGTTCTGTCAAGTTTTAATAATACTATTGGGATGTACCATGTAACGTATTTAACTTTGAAAGGTTTGATGAAGTTTATGTATCATATATATCTAAAAAATACTTTGACCATGTGAAGAATGTTGTTTTTTATAAAGTTCTGTAACTCATTCATTTAACCTTTTTATTTTGACATTACTCATTGAGTTTCTAACTCACCCCCATTTCCCTATATATGTAGGTGAGCATTAGGAGGATCTACATTAAAGTTTGCTTTGGAGTTAACCCTTTGGTGAAGACTATCCAAGATGTGACTCAGTGTTGAGGCTTTAGCTTTTGTTTTGCCCGAGTTTTGTAAAGTCTTAGTTTTGTCAAGTTTTGATGAGTCATATGTATGGTCTTGGGATATGTATGAGAGGAATGTTTATATATATATATAAGTGTGCATATGAAATGGTTTAATTAATTTGGTTCATATCATGTATGCACAGCTCAATAGACAATATTATTTCTATTTTTGCTTCTGCTTTAGGCCCCGCTATTTAATTAATATTTTCTGATTTGGTTAAGAGGTTGTAGATAATTTATGATTACTGGCCGGTCATGTCCCTAACCTTTAGCGGTGGGCTAGGGTAGTGACAATATATAAAAGGCCAAAGAATTTATTCCACCGTGTATGTGACTCTAGCCACTAGGAAACAAATTTGGGTTAGGCTATGATGGCTCTTGTGCTAAACAATTGTAAGGAATAGACTGGTGCTGGGCTAGGTGACCTTCCATTGGATCTTCTTAGAGAAAGGCCCGAGTTACTATTCCAAGGATGACTCTTTGTTCGATGTTGTATACAATGGGCATGATGACTTGAGAACTTTGTGGCATGTTATTTGTTATTCTATGGTACCCAGTTATGATGATGATTGTGCTATTGTCTATTTTAAGTGGAGACATGTGTTATGTTATGTTCTTCAAATGCATTGACATTTTTAATTGTTAAAATGTGGAATCTTATTATTTGAGTTAGATTGTCTTTACCAAAACTGTATATCAATCTAATTTTTGTTATATACATTTTATTTTGGAATTGAACATTGTTTTCAAAACTATATTTACTATCAATACTTTTACTCAATGAGTTATCTGCTGACTTAGTTTAACATTTTTAAGTGAGAAAGACTTAGAGTGGACTCATAGCTTAGTGGGGACTCTATTGCATGTAGGGCTGCAAACGAGTCGAGCCAGGCAGAGCTTTAGTATGTTTGGGCTTATTTATTAAGATTTTAACGAATTCGAGCTCGAGCTCGAGCTCAATAAAAATTTAACGAACCGAGCTCGAGCCAAGTTGGCTTAGACTCGAGCTCAAACTTGTTCATGAATCGTAACGAGCCAAAAAATTTATAAATTCATACTTGTGGATGAGACTAAAATTACAATTAAAACTTTGATTATACAATTATATATACAATATATATAAACATTCTAAAAAAAAAAGTCAATATTTTACTAAAATAATAATATCTACTACCACTATTATATCAATGTCTATCTATAATTAACTATTATTTATATTTATATTTTTTAAATATATAAATAACATATTTATCTTATTTTTTATACATATTTTTACATTATTTAATATATAAATAATAAATATTAAACGATCCAGCTAACGAGCCGAGCTTACGAATGTTTGGACTTAGTTATTAAAAATTTAACGAGCTAGAGCTAGAGCTAGAGCTCGAGCGCGAATGCAAAAAAAATTTTAACAAACCGAGTTCGAACGAGCTCTTACCGAGCCAAGTTCGAGCTTGTTCACGAACGGTTCTGTTCATTTGCAATCCTATTGCATGGATCTCTAGGACACTTACATTTAGCTAGTTATGTCAATTTTGTGCATACATTTTGGTTCAAATCTAGTTAGAATTATTTTGTTTATTATTTGAATTGTCATTGGATTGGGTATTGATTTATTTATGACATCGGAATAAAATTGCATCATTTACTATTCAATTGTAGTTTGTTGTATAAGTTTACGTGTGCCTTAAACTACGGCCCTGTGACCCATGACTAGTCATGCCTCGAATCATGCCTTGGATTTGGAGTGTGATAAGACTCTCAAAATGCGTGAAGTGATACTCAACTCTTTTGAAAACATTGTTAAAGGTTTGAAAACGTTTTGGCTAAAAGAGGGGTTGGATTTGGGTTCAGAATCTCACCAGTTGGATAGCTATTTTGGGAGGACTAAGAAGATTATCTATCTTTGTTTCATCATTGAGGAGCTTTGCGGGCACCCAAATATTAAGAGTGGTCAAAATGAAATCTCTATGGTATCATAAACATTTGTACATATAAATATGGCAAGAGATTTAGTGATGCTCACGGCAATTACATATATTGAAGCATTTTTCAATAACCAAATCGGCTGATCCAAAAAATGTAAAGAAGTCATGGGTTCCACAGTGATGGAACCCATTGCTGTGGAAACCACAACTTCTCTCACATATTTTAAATCGAGCTATTTAAACAAATAGAGAAGCAAGACTAACATAATCTGAATTGTTTTTTCAACCTTTTTATTCAGTAACTCAATTGCTGCTGACACAGGAAATGAAAATTTGGACTTAATATTCACAGCATCATGATGGAAACCGATGAGCAAATTATATATTAACCATAAACAAAAGATTGTTGGAGTATACACAAAATGCTGCTATGCTATGGAACACTAAACATGGTTCTGCGAGGTTAATATGTACTAACTAATGGCAAGTTGTTGGTGCAAAATAAACAGCATAATATATTTTTAATTAGTACTCCAACAGAGAAGAGCTTTTAGACATATTTCATCTCAGTCGGGCAGACCTTCGCGCTGTCCTCCTAGCATCAGAAGTAGACACCGGCGGCACGAGAGAGGATTCAGATCCAGCAGTACCGGAATCAACAACAGCTCCGGATGTTCTGAGCCTCTTTCTCATGGAGGGTGGAGGAGGTGGCTGGTTCTGAGTGGACCCATTTGTGTCATCATCAATTTCCTCCACAGTTTCTATTTTGGAAACAGGAAGCAGCCATGGAGTGCCACAACCTGGACAAACTTTCTCACCCTGCAAATCATAGATTCAGCAATTTAATTTAATTTAATTCATTAAGTTAATTTGAAGTTCGAAAATATGGAGTTCGAAATGATACCCGTTTCTGGGAAAATTTCCTTTTTAGACAGTACTGATGCAATCGAACAGTACAACCTTCATTTTCGCACAACTCTGCCTGCTCAAAATAATCACGACAGAATATATGAAGATTCAACAGCAGCAACAAAGACCTTATGTGTGTCCAAGTATTGTTAGTTGGTTTGGGGTTGGGTGGGGGGAAGATTATTGAAAAAATAAAAGAAAATTGACAGCAAATTAGTCACTTTAAAATTTGAAAAGCAATTTCAGTGGGTGTAGCATATGAGACACTCATGTACCTAGAAACAATTGTAAAACGCTTGAAGATACTTCTAATTATGGTAAGATGATGGTCATTATTACATTCTAGTTCAAATAATATAAAACTACATGGCTTATGAAAATGTTCATAAGCTTAGATCAAGCAAGAAGTTACCCAAATTTTAGAAATTGTCACACATGGAATGTGGGAGATTCTTACTACTATCCTAATGGGTATGGGCACTACTGTATTTCATTACTAAACTACACATCCACATCTCACTTCAAACTTTTCGATTCCTCGGGTAGCTACCTCTAGAAAGGCATTCCAGCTTCAGAGGCAGGTGAGCTGGGTCAGGAAGGAGTTTGCCTGCTGAGATTAGATCAGATCCTACTCAAAGCACTCCACCACAAACAACAGACTTGGGACTGGATAGACAGTAGAGATACGAACTCCTAATCAAATGAGTGGAACCAAGTATGATTATATATTTTTTGCCAAGAGTTTTCCTTTGATCATATTATTGCAGTCATACATGACATGCAATCTTCTGGATCCTCAGGAAGCAAAAGAAGCAATGCAAGAAAATGCTTCCAGTTGATATACAGTTCAGATCTTCAAACTGAATTTCTATGTTCTCAAGTCTCAACTAAAGACGCAATAGTAAAACATTTCCAAGTTATAAACACTTCATCAGAGAGTATATTCCTTATATCTGGAGAATAAAATTGGAGAAATTATTACCTTAATTCCAGCCTCATTACAAACTTCACATGCAGGAATATCATTATTACGGAACCAACTGCGCAGATCAAGGAAGGATCTAAGCCCCAGTCCAATGTTACCATCTGTGATGGAACAGAGCCACTGGTCTCGCACAAGTTCTTCAAGAGTTTTCTCCTTCTGAGACATTGAGAAGTTCTTCAATGCATGAGGAGCTTGAGCAGGAGTATCCTGAGATTGGGAACCTACTCCAGTTGAAACCTGAAGATTAACCAAAAGGATTGTCAGACCGACGGTATTTATAGAGGGGGAAAAAAAAAAAAAAAAAGCTACAACACCCATATGATAAGGAAACTTCACATTGCTTTACCAGTCATTCTATTAATTTGAAACTTTTTTCACACAATATGGCACAAATTAGGGTGATTTTACATTTCCTTAGTTCAGTATTACTACATAACTGTAATTGTTTGTTTGTGGAACATAATTTCAGGAAAAAAAATTTACGAAATGACAAATTTTCCTTCCATCAAAAGCTCCATTAAACTCAGCGAACATATTATAAAATAAATTTTAGCAAAGCTTATGAACACTATAACATGCCCCTCAATTTGAGGGAAACATCGGTTTGCATTTGAGCTTTATAGTCTTCCAAACACATATATTGCATTTGAGTTTTATAGCCTTACCATTTTGTTTTTTTGACAAGATTGACAAATGTGTGTCCCACCTAGGAGGCTCGGACTTGAACCCTGCACAGGACAATCAAAAATCTGAAGAGCCCATGCAACATCTAATCGTTTTTCTAATTTTTATTTTTCATTTTTTAAGGGCAACTTGACCAAAATGGTAAGGCTTGCTGTTATCATCCTTGGTGGTCTGGATTCGAGTCATATAAACCACCTCTCCAAAAATGGGAGTAAGGTTCTCTAAATCTTGCCGCCCTAGACCCCACTTAAGAGAGAGCCTTGTACGCTACGTCGCCCTTTTTTTTTGTAATTCAGAAACATCAAAAACAAAACATGCATGAGCTTTCAGAAAGAAAAAGGTCAACTAATGATTCTATTTTCTTTGGGAAGCAGAGAAATACACAAGTCAAAAATCATTTGAGAAATAACTACGAATTAAAAAATAGGGGTTTTCGGCCAAAAACCCATTGGCTCAACATTTTGGTGCGAAAAGGATGCAAATTAATTGCATCTTGCAAAACACCCTCCTCCATTAAAAAATAAGGTGAATTGACTATAATAACTCTGTATGTATATGGAGAGATAGAGACGGTTCGCATACACCAAACCATTCTCGCTGTCAATTTTTTTTCTTCTAAAATACTCTATAAAATCCTTATTCGAAGGCGAAATCATCGCATTTTGGTATAGATTCATCGCTATTTCTCTTGCACGTTGGTTTTCACATCACAAATATCTTCTACATAATCATTGATCATTGACTCGTCTCCAAGGCTGATCTATTTGAATATAAAGGTTGGAGGTTTAGATCTGTAAAAACCTCCCAATTTTAGCAAGTTTATTTAAATTCAAAGCCTTTTTTTTTTTTTTGGGTTATGACTAGTTCAAATATTGAGATTGGGATCTCAAACGAAATTGTTGTCGATGTATGTTCAATAGTGAAAATAGTAAATTTTACTGCCTACCATAGTAAAATTTTGTGTAGGAGTAAAAAAAATGTCAAATTAGATAAAAGTTAACTGTCAATTTTTATAAACAAATAAAGTAAACTTCTACCATCATTTATAAACATATTGTCACCAAACAAAAACTAAGCATATTGTCACCAAACAAAAACTATAGTAAAATTTTAGAAATTGACAGAGTAAATATTAAAAGTTGACAGTAAAATGGAAACAAATTTGTTTGTTCTTTATGAAGGATGTGTCTTCTTAAAATGTTAAAATTTCACAGGAAAATTTTATTGTAAGATAAGATTAAAATTTTACTGTACACATTAATTTCAACAATTAATTTTTTTATATATTATTTTTTAAAGAATTTTATGGCTAATATGGATCTTGTTTGATAGATCTTGATAAGAGGATTCTAAAAATACTAATTTAATTAAAAACCAATATATAGATCAAAAGTTATATAATTTTAAAGTTTGAAATATAAAATAAGTTACAAAGGGCAAGAGTCCATAAAAAAATGGAAACAAATTTGTTTGTCCTTCATGAAGGACGCACTTCTTCTTCAGGGGGTATACGAATTAAAAACATTTGGGCTGTCCTTTTTGTTGGCATATTATATTCGCCGAAAGTCACTTAGCATATTATATTAGCCGAAAGTCACTAGGGTCTGTAATCATTTTTATGCCTTGTAAACCCTAATCTTCATGTATAAATAAGGGGTGATATCTCATCATACCCTAAGCTAGTTACTTAAAGCTTCATGGTATCAGAGCAGAACCTATAGGGTTTAGGCTCACCCTCGTTGGTAGACCTTTTCACCAACGACACTCTAGGGTTCGAAGCTTACCTGGGCGGATCATCACTCAGCTGTCTTCCTCAGTCGATCTCCTCAGCTCGTCTTCCTCAGTCGATCTCCTCAGCTCGTCGTCCTCACCTCGTCGATCTCCTCGCCTTCCTCTGTCGATCGTCACTCAGCCGTCAACTCCTCAGCTCGGCGATCTCCTCCAGCCAGTTGTCGCTCGTCTTCTTCGTCACTCGTCGTCCTCAGCCTCTGATCTCACTGTGGTATGTATAAATATATATATATACATATATATCCTGATATATATATATATATAGCCTGATATACATATATTTATATATAAAGACATGTATACATAAATAAATCAATTTACTCAAAAAATAAAAATAAATTAATTAATTAAAAAAAAAAAAAAAAATCGTTTCTTAATTTTGTTATGTCTTTATAGTGGTCATTGTGCCTGTTATCTCACTACCACCTTCCGGGTTTGTGATTTCCACTAGTTTTGTTGCGGGTTTGGTAGTATTGTATCCATGACAGATTCCACTAGTGTGTCCCCTTCGTCTCAAACACCAAAGAGTGAGAGTCTCATTCTACCTACTACCATGACTGAGAACCCCAACCCTAGTCTGAAAATCACCACCTCTCTATTTAATGGTCAGAACTACCTAGCATGGTCTCAAAATTTGACT